TTTGCCTGATAGTCTAAGCTCGCTTGCAAGCTCAAATAGGCAGATTTTACCAAGCTCGCCTGATGGCCCAACTTCGTCTGCAAGCCGACATTTGCCAGAAAGGCAAAGCAGCAGCTCGCCAGACAGGCGCAATGCACCAAACTCGTCCAACAGGCGAGCCTCACCAGCCTGAACCTCACCAACAGGCCCAAGCTCGCCTATCAAGGTGAGCTCGCCAGATTTCAACACTTGAAGATTTTCCCAAGTGTTCTCTCAAGTGCTCTCTTGAGCCCTCTTCTTGCAAGCACTCGTTTGGTCTTTCTGACGCTGGGTGTTGTCACTATCAACCTACATGAGATCTCAGGGGATGCTTGACTTACAAACACATGCCCTATGAGGCAATTCCTCAATGCCATTGCGAGAGGCTCATTGCAACGCTGTTCGAGCACTGTCGGTGTGCTAAAACGCCTAAACCATTGGTGTTCGAAAGACTCTTTCAGCAACCATCAGAGACGAGACCTCTCCGCCAAAGACGCAATCGTTAGAGGAGATGAGTTTCTAATGATGGGAGCTCCCTGCCGCAACTGTTAATGTGATAAGGAAATCCAAGGCCATTGAGCGTGAAGGTAACGCACTCGCGCCCAAATAGGTGTAGCCATTCTATTTGACTACACGTGCCTAGCACCCATCTCTGACGATGACGATGATGATTGCTCGGTAGTGACAACGTCACAGGCTTCAAGCTCAATTCAGGGCGAGCACGTAAATGTGCACATGACCAAAATCCCTGGCGATGAGACACAGAGTTGGGCGCTTGTTGGGAGTTGAAAACGCAAGGGCCGCTTGCGTTCGGACCTTAACTCTGCGTCTTAAAGATGAGACACAGAGTTGGGCGCTTGCTGGGAGTTGAAACGCACAGGCCGCATGCGTTTTAGAGATGAACTCTGCGTTTTAGGCTGAAAACGCAGAGTTGAGCCTGTTTTAGAGATAAACTCTGCGTTTTAGGCTGAAAACGCAGAGTTGAGCCTGTTTTAGGCTGAAAACGCACAGTTGGGCCATTTTAGAGGTGAACTCTGTGTTTTAGGCTGAAAACACAGAGTTGGGCCATAACTCTGCGTTTTGATGTTATATCACAAGGATAACCTCTGCGTTTTGAGGTTATAACGCTGGTTCGACCTGTGCGTTTTGACTCTGTAATGCAGAGGCGAACCTTAGGCGGGCTTGGTGAGCTTCAAGCTAAGTCCAATGTTCTGACGAAGTCCGGTCTTGCAGACGGACTTCAGAACATAATTTGCTACGAAGAACATGTCATAACTTTCAAACCGTAAGTCGGAATTGGACGAATTATATATGAAAATCGGCTATCTCGACGAGACGGGGCCATGCAAACCAAGCCGAAGGCTTCAGTTCGCTTCCTCTGTTTCTCCAAATTCCTTACAGTTTGAGAGATATCTGCATTCTAATATGAAGAGACCGTCAATTTATAGTCTCTTTTGCTAGAGCTTTGCACAGATCGTCCTCTTGTAATCTTCGTCTTGGCTCCTTGAAAATATGAGAGTCGTCAGATTGTAACTCCCGATGTTGATTGTGAAGGCTATTGAATTGGGGCTTTCATTAGTTGTTGTGAAGGTCATCAGATTGTAACCTTCTGGAAGTCGTCAGATTGTAACTTCCATCATTGGTGTTTGATGGGGGATCAACTATCTATTGTAATTTTTAGACAGCCTACAACAATGAGATGTCAGTCGTTTGTTTATCCGAAGTCAGATGTTGCTCTCTTTCTTGAGGGTGAGCTGTTTGGCTTTAGACGTCATTGAGCTATCAACATATTTGCCATCTCATCGGCCAAGGACCTGCCTGAACTTTAAGTTTTTGCTGAGGTCTTTGCAGGCTGGTGGTGGACGTGGTGATTTTCAACAGATCTTGCTTGTCCACCGTTGGTTATGCTGTATGACCAGAATCCTGCTGATTGAGCTTTTGGAGGAAGATGCTCAACAGGAGGAGGCCTAGGTAACTTTTGTGATGGGGGGCTTCTTGTTGATGAAACCCCAAATGCCGATGCTTTGTCTCCTGGAATTTGATGGGATCATGGTTTCCCTTTGGGGATTCTAGGAGTAGCAACGACCGGACCATCCTATAAATGGAGGAGCTTTCTTTTTGTAGGGAGAATGTGTGTTGCATGCTTCGACCACTAGTTCTTACTTCGACTTTGGTGGTTCGAATAGCTGCTGGGGGCTAGAGCCGGATTTCCTGAGGAGGAAATCATCAGGTGGCCCTCTGAGTTTTTCCTACAATCTCATATTTGGTGAGAAATGACTCTCCTTTGAAGGTGGTGATGGTCCGAGGAGCTTGTCACAGACTTGATCGCTGCTCCCTGCTCGTGTGAGCTTTTGCTGATGGGAGCTTGAGCGATACTGGATCTGATCATAACCCTTGGGATTCTGTTTTGCGATCCAACCTCGGGCCTCTTGGCTATCCAGGCAGTAGAGTTTTTGTCTGTTGTGGCAATGAGAAGCTTGTGCTTCATTTTTTAAGCCAAACAAGCACCATGGTGGTATGTCTTTTCTAGGAGGGCATTTGGGGTTCTACTTGGCAAATACTCCCCAGAAAGCTGTTGGAGCCCTCGAGGACTACGCGTATGTTGGTTCCTCATAGCCATAGGCTAATCCTCCTTAGCTTGAATGACTAAATTCCAGGTTTTGTTTAGCTTGAATAATATGATTCCAGTGATGTTCTTCAAGAATGAACAAGATTAGGCCCCTGCTTAGAATTGGGCATTTCTTCTCAGAAAAGAGAGTGAGCCCCATGGTAGGCGTTAAACTGTTGATGTCTGATATCACACAATCGATGGGGTTTTTTTGCCGGTGGATACAGTTTCGATCCTTGCGAGGCTGACGAAAAGGGAGAGGATGGGAGACGGGGCCGACTCCTCCTCCGACTTTATACCCGATCTTTAATAGGAGGATCTGGCCCTGCAACACAAGCAAGAAGAACGCTTGCACCTCCTGTACAGCCAAGAAGGAGAAGAAACCCGTAGGAGGGCGGGGCTCATTTTCCCCGTGGTACCTCCGACGGTCAAGTTAGCTTGTGAGCTTGAGTGGGGTTTGAGGGAGAGTCCCTGGGCCATTGAGGTCCTTAGAGGGTACTCATTGAGAGTTATTAGTCCTTTTTTAGCAAAGGTAAATTCAGAGCTTTTATGAAGAAGAAGCAGAAAATAGTCCTCGAGCCTTTTTTTATTTCATACCTTCCCTACTCCTTTTATAGTCCATCACCTCTGAGATGTTGACCCTTAGCTTTGACTATGCACAGGAGGCGGCTGAGGGCTGATCAGTCAGGCTGCTGAGTCATCCTTCTCTTTCCAGATGTTGGCTGGCGATTGGAAGGAAAGTCACTCGAGTACAGGAGAGAAATATCTTATTAGTTTCCTGGATTTGACAGATGAGGCAAGGCGAAGGATAGGCCGACTGCTTGGTCGTCCTTCCCTCTCCAGATGGCGGCTGGCGATTGGAGGGGAAGTCATTCGAGCTCAAGAGAGCATAATTGTGATCTCTGGGAAGTGACTTGTAAGCAGAGTAAGCGACTTTTGCTTGAGATTTGTTAGAGTGGAGATCTTGATGGGACTGATCAATACTATAGTGTTGATCGATATATAAAGAGAGCTTAGCTGAATCTTATCCCCTTAGCAGAGACGAGTCGATTTGTGAGTCTTCGTTATGATTCGTCGACCAGACAGTCGAATCGAGCTTTTGGTCGAGTGGATGGTCGAGACGTCTGCTCGAGGGGTCGTCTTGATTACGAGGGACCGACTGATCATGCACTTCGAGTTGGTAATGATGACTCGTTTTCTTGGTGGGTTATCAGACTTGCTCTTGGCCGGGTTTTTGGGCCGTTAAGCTGGCTTGGGCTATAGCTCTTTGGGCCTAAGAAGATAATCTCTTGATATCTTTATCTTTAGATGGTGAATTACCATAACAGAAAGTTAGAAAGAAAAATTATGACAAATGTTTGTTGCTTCTCCTTCATCTTTTTCATGTTATCTGTAGTTTTACTAGTTTATAAAAGCTTAAAATATCTTTCATTCTATTTTGATAATTATGGTACTACAACATGACGGGCATTAAAAAATTAGCCCTTAACTTGTGATGGAAGCCTCATATGACTAACTGGGTAAGGGTTACAGGGACAGCTAGATCTTTGAGGAGAGATACAATTGTTTCCAATGTAGGAAAAGCAAGCATTAAAATCATAGAGAAACCAATTTCTCCTAGCAGCCTACGGAGTGAGAAATACCCTCAAAGAGAGCTCAGTTGGAAGAAGGATAATATCTCTTGTTTGAAAAAAAAAAAGAATCCCCTCGTCTCTGATAGGAGTAAATCTATGGAGCAATCACTGTCGAAGAAGGTTGCTTAGATGAAGAAGAAGGAGAAGCTAGAAAATGTTAAGGATGGAAAGCCAGAGAAGGTGAAGGATAGATGTAAGAGCTCATTAATAGGCTATGTAAGCATCAATTATTCTTTACACATTCTTGCATATTTATATTGAACGAAATTTTGTAACTTTATCAATATTACATTTTAATTTGCATTGTTTCATGTTAACTTTCTTTGTGTATGTTAGTGTACATTTTTTTATGTTGAGTTAGCGTTAAATGTTAATGTTCAGCAGAACATGTGAATTCTCAGCGTAACATGGTAACTTTTATCCTTACATGTTACCTTTCATGCTTACATGTTATTTTGTATTCTTACATGTTAACTTTAGTTTGTACATGTTAATTTTCAGCGTAATGTGTTAACTTTCATCCTTACATGATAGCATTTTAAATTTTGTTAATTTTCATAACAATTATCCTTAATTTTTTTTCATTGTTTATATAACTATAATGGGTATATGTTTTTTTTAGATTTTCTCCTGGCATATCAGTGATGCTTTTGAAAGAGAAGATGAGATAGAGAAGTTACCAAGTGATGAGCAAATTTACTTTTAGAGGAATATTGCCAAACTAAATTGGAAATTGTTCCATGCTGTCAAGCGTTGTAAACGATATCAATGGATGCTTACGCCAAGGAGATACAACGACTTACAAGAAATTGGAGATCTATGAAGGAACCGATGATCTCATTGACCTTGAAGACCTGAAGAAGAATGTGAAGAATGTTATGGCACAGAATGATAGGCATACTAATGCTGCACAGAAGAAGAAGAAAAATATTTTTGATCTTTTGATAGGAATGATGATATTAGTTGCTTCGATTATGACAATATAACCAATATTGAAAAGGAAGCTTCTCATATTGTGGAGGAGGTTGTGCAAATAGAGAAGAAAATAGATGAAGTAGAAGAAAAAAAACAAGAAGCCGCGCAAGAAGAGAAGGAAGTAGAGAAAGAAGAAGGGCAAGAAGTGGATGTTGAGAATGTGGAGAAAGAGAAAGAGAAGAAAGAAGGGAAAGAAGAGGATGGTGAGAATGTGGAAAAGCAAGAAGAAAAGAAAGAGGAAGAGAAAGAAGAAGAGAAGAAAGATGAAGAACAAAAGGAGGAGAAAGAGAAGAATGTTGAAGAGTTATCAATTAAGAAATTCATTGCCGCACCGAAGGTAAAAGTTTATCGAAAGAGAATGAAGAAATTAGCTTCAAAGGGGACAAGGGCACCAAGTACCAGGATTAGGATACGATCACATCTAGTCTGAACCCCACTCAATGAAGAAAAGAAGAAGGAAGTTAATGAAGAGATAATTATAGTATTACACCAGAAAGATAAGGAGAGGAAAAAAATTAGGTACTACTATATGTCTGATGAATGAAGCTGAGAGTTTATGAAGAATAGGAAAATCAAGAAGAAGGAGGATGTTTTGCTGAAGTCGTTAAACGAGAGTATTCCTAATGTTTCTGATTTTGGCATACACTTGGTTGATAATGAAGGAACCTTCATTCACAACTTTAAAATGTCTCATCATGTAGCGGCAAAGCTTACACCAGATGAGAACATATGTGTCTCAAATTTTTACAATAAAAAATTCCATCAGTAAGTTTAGTAATTCTCATTCATGTTTGGATGCATACTACATGTGATCTTTTATCCATTCATGTTAATGTTTGTGTATAAATATTAATATTTCCCGATATATGTTAACTTATAGACGTTTATGTTAACTTTTGCTCGTACATGTTACCTTTCATTATTACATGTCAACGTTTATCAACAATTGTTAATGTTTGTATCTTACTGTTATATTTCAGGTCATGTATTATTGTCAATACGTCGAACAATAGTATTGATGCTTTGGAGCTTATGTATCTACTTAGTAGAGACCGTCTCGATGACCATGCAAGTTTAATATGTTAAATATATGCATATCTATTTTTTATGTTGTGTTGTCATGCAATTTAATTTTCATCTTTTGCATGGTAAATTTATAGGTCATGGAAGCTTTGATAGATAGAATAAGTATATGGTTAGAGAGACCAAAAATTACCTCACTGAACAAGAAATATGGAGTCATATCAACTTACTTTTGCGTAAGCACTAGTTTCAAACCCCTAACCATCTTTACATCTTATTTATAATTGGCATAATATTATCTTCTTGGCAATACAACATAGTTTTTATGCCAAGACTCCTGATTTTTCACATCTGTATGCTTCGTTTATACAAAAGCATGTTGATGCAGACAAGAATATACTCCTTATCCCCCTTGTGCGTCAGGACCACTAGCATATTGCTGAAGTCAGGTTGGATGAGAACGTGTTAAGCATTATAGCTTGACTGGCCATAGTGCGTACATTGAACCAGTGAATAAAGTAATTAATTTTATGGATCATATGAAGTTTGGATTTGATCCCCAAAATGTTTAGAGAAAGTACAAATATGAAGCCGTCCCTTGCGAGCAACAGTCTGGAATGCTAGTATTTCACAAATATAATCTTTTTTATTTTGTCTAATATCATATATCTAGCTAGCTTGCTACTTTATATCATGCAGTTTTGATTATGGAATTTTCGTTCCCTTATATATGAAGGCTATAATCTGTGGTGTTGATACACTTCAAATAACTACTTCAACAATGAATTTGATGTCATACGTGCTAGGCTTGCAACTGAACTTCTAATAGAAGGATGAGAATAAAAGAATCAAACAGAGACTTTAGATAAGGATGGGAGAACGTTGTTTTAAAAGTTGATTGATTGAATCAAAACTTGTGTGCATGTTTATATTATGTATATTAATTTAGTTGTGTTCAGTTGATGTGGATGACAAACAATACATCAAGATTGACATTTATTGTTCTTATAGTATTTCTGGTATTTTTGTCACAATATATCTACGTTTTGTTTTGATACAACATATATTTAACATGTTTAAATAAAAAGCTACTTGTTAACCTGAATGTCAACAGGAAAAGCTAATACTTAACATGTACATTTGACAAGTTAACATATTTAGCTAAAAGTTATTATGTTATGAAGAAAGCTGACATGTAACGGTGAAAGTTAACATATTCTGCTGAAAGTTAATATGTTCAGCTGATAGTTAGCGTGCAGATCTGAAAGATAACATGTTCATGTGAACGTTAACTTATTCAACTGAATGTTAACATGTTCATTTGCAAGTTAACGCGTACATCTGAAAGTTAACATTTTTAGCTTGCAGTTAACATAGCATACTACATGTGATCTTTGATCCATTCATGTTAATATTTGTGTATAAATATTAATATTTCCCGATATATGTTAACTTATAGACGTTTATGTTAACTTTTGCTCGTACATGTTACCTTTCATTATTACATGTCAATGTTTATCAGCAATTGTTAATGTTTGTATCTTACTGTTATATTTCAGGTCGTGTATTATTGTCAATACGTCGAACAATAGTATTGATGCTTTGGAGCTTTTGTATCTACTTAGTAGAGACCGTCTCGATGACCATGCAAGTTTAATATGTTAAATATATGCATATCTATTTTTTATGTTGTGTTGTCATGCAATTTAATTTTCATCTTTTGTATGGTAAATTTATAGGTCATGGAAGCTTTGATAGATAGAATAAGTATATGGTTAGAGAGACCAAAAATTACCTCACTGAGCAAGAAATATGGAGTCATATCAACTTACTTTTGCGTAAGCACTAGTTTCAAACCCCTAACCATCTTTACATCTTATTTATAATTGGCATAATATTATCTTCTTGGCAATACAACATAGTTTTTATGCCAAGACTCCTGATTTTTCACATCTGTATGCTTCGTTTATACAAAAGCATGTTGATGCAGACAAGAATATACTCCTTATCCCCCTTGTGCGTCAGGACCACTAGCATATTGCTGAAGTCAGGTTGGATGAGAACGTGTTAAGCATTATAGCTTGACTGGCCATAATGCGTACATTGAACCAGTGAATAAAGTAATTAATTTTATGGATCATATGAAGTCTGGATTTGATCCCCAAAATGTTTAGAGAAAGTACAGATATGAAGCTGTCCCTTGCGAACAACAGTCTGGAATGCTAGTATTTCACAAATTTAATCTTTTTCATTTTGTCTAATATCATATATCTAGCTAGCTTGCTACTTTATATCATGCAGTTTTGATTATGGAATTTTTGTTCCCTTATATATGAAGGCTATAATCTGTGGTGTTGATACACTTCAAATAACTACTTCAACAATGAATCTGATGTCATACATGCTAGGCTTGCAACTGAACTTCTAATAGAAGGATGAGAATAAAAGAATCAAACAGAGACTTTAGATAAGGATGAGAGAACATTGTTTTAAAAGTTGATTGATTGAATCAAAACTTGTGTGCATGTTTATATTATGTATATTAATTTAGTTGTGTTCAGTTGATGTGGATGACAAACAATACAGCAAGATTGACATTTATTGTTCTTATAGTATTTCTGGTATTTTTGTCACAATATATCTACGTTTTGTTTTGATACAACATATATTTAACATGTTTAAATGAAAAGCTACTTGTTAACCTGAATGTCAACAGGAAAAGCTAATACTTAACATGTACATTTGACAAGTTAACATATTTAGCTAAAAGTTATTATGTTATGAAGAAAGCTGACATGTAACGGTGAAAGTTAACATATTCTGCTGAAAGTTAATATGTTCAGCTGATAGTTAGCGTGCAGATCTGAAAGATAACATGTTCATGTGAACATTAACTTTTTCAACTGAATGTTAACATGTTCATTTGCAAGTTAACGCGTACCTCTGAAAGTTAACATTTTTAGCTTGCAGTTAACATAGAGATCTAGCATGTTCATAATAACGTTATCATACTCAGTTGAAAATTATCGTGTACAGCTTAGAAAAATTTTAGAACCGAGATAATTAACAGGAAACACAAATAGAATACTTTAGCTAAATAAGTACATTACACAAAACTCCTTACATTCTTGCAGCTGATATTGCTTGAAAACACAATAAATATTTAGTCTTACAACTTCACAGATTAGAAAAGTCTTCAATAATATCATTTTTATAGCAGCATATTATCATTTTATTTTCATTTTTGGTATTTTTGCCATGATAAATTTAAGCTTTTTCTTGATACAACTTATATTCAGTTGAAAGTTAACATATACAGCTGAAAGTTAACATGTACAGCTAAGAGTTAACATGTTCAAGTGAAAATTAATCTGTTCAGGTTAAAGTCAACATATTCGGCTAAAAGTTAACTTATATGTTTGCAAGTTAACATGTACAACTTATAGTTAACCTTTTTAGCTTAAAGTTAATATATTCAGTTGAAAGTTAACATCTTTACTTGAAAGTTAACTAAAGAATCTGAAAGTCAACATGTACAGTTGGAAGCTAACATGTTCATTTGAAAGTTAACATAGTCAAATGAAAGTTAACATGTTTAACTAAAAGTTATTCAGCTGAAAGTTATTATAGTACCAAGATATTTAACAGGAAACACAAACAGTATACTCATGAGGGTAGTGCTAGTGCTGTTGTTGGTGCTATTGCTGCTGCTGAGGTCATGGCTGTGGAGGTCTCTATGGCCCTGGCTGCCGTCTTATAAGCTCAGACATCTTCCATGTCCATATACCCATGAGCTTTGGCCATCAGCTATTCATAATTGGTGACCGACTTCTTAGCAAGTGAGTCATCCAATTTGTTATTCTACAAACCGGCCATAATAGCGGACATAGCAACCGCACTCCCTTGGTCATTAAACTCTAGCCTCTTTGTTTGGAACCTCTTGAAGTAGGCTTGAAGGCTCTCTCTAGGCTCTTGCCTCATCTGGATTAACACATGAGGTGGCTTCTGTTTGGTAACAGCCAAGAAATGGTGGATGAACTTCTAGCTGAGTTGTTGAAAGCTCTGATGGACTTCTTCTCGATGGTGTTCCACCAGAGCTTGGGGCTCCCTACCAGAGTGATGGGGAAGCATCGGCAGATAACTGCTTCCGATGCATGGAACATGCTCATTACATCATAATAATTTTGAACATGCTCAGTGGGGTCTCCTTTGCCTTTGTACTTCTCCACGTGAGGCATCTTGAACTTTTCACATGGGGCGTTCATTAGGTCATAGGAGAGCGGGGTGTTCCCCGTGATGGCTTCTGCGATCGGTTTGTACACCTGATCGTATCCAGAGGCCCCCATGATAGCAGACGGGGTTGGAGAGGTAGGTAGTGGGGGATAGTCTTAGAGACTGCTCCCCTAGTTCGATCCCCAGGGTGACTACGGTTGGGACTCTCATCGGCGACTTTAGGATCAGGGAGGAGACGCAGGTGAGGTTCCTCGAGGCGAGTCGACTGATATGGTGGTGGGGTCGCATACTTGACGTGATCCCTCCACTGCTTGGCAGCAGCATGAGGAGTTCGAGGTGAGACTATTTGTTGTGTTCTAGTAGAGGGGTGAGTCCTCGATTGCTGGTCTTTAGAAGGCAAAGGGATAGCGAAAGTAGCATGCTGTGGCTGTGGAAACCGACTGTGGAGCTCGCTGGTGAAGGTAGCAAGGTATTGTTGGAGGGAGTGAGAGATATTTTGAGCCATTTCTTCAAGGTGAGCTTGAGTAACGCAGCTCTGGTGTGGTCCTTCAGGGTGAAACTGATCAGCTCTATCCTCAGAACCAGACATACTTGCTCGAAAAAGAAAGAAGGTCCTACGGTGGGCACCAAGCTGTTGATGTTAATTATCAAACATATAATATAATGGGGATGAGGTTGATTAGGGGCTGCTCACTTCTCCGAATATTTGGTTTTGAGTTGAGTAGCATCTGCCTGCACAAATAGTAACTCGTAAGAGGACGTGGACTAGTTCTCCTGTTGTTCCTCTGACGATCAAGTCAGTGATGGACTTGAGTGGGGAAAGTGATGAACTGTGCGAGTTCTTAAATATAGTGCAGTGGAATTATGAGATATTGCTTGCTTACCCTGATATTTGGAATAGTATCCCTATTTATAGTGGTGGTATAAGGGTAGAATGGTAATCTCGGTTGAGTACAGGATGACGGCAAAACGAGTATGGGATGGTGGCTATGTCAGCACATGCTTTACATGTGTCGGTCGGCAAGTGGAGGAGAGGTCACCTTAGTATTTAATGTGAAGTGATTGGGGGCATGACGGTGCCGACGTGGTCCGATGTGTCATGAAACTATCGGGACTAGAGGAATGATGGCGTCTACAAAGCATTTAATGTGACGCCGACGCGCTATCAACGGGGGAGGCTCAAGATTGAAGTCGTCTTTTGGCTTATAGCGAGGTGTGTTGAGAACGAACACCTTTCGAGTCGACCCTGCAACGTGTTAACTACTTTGGTCGAGTGGGCTCGTAGCGAGCCGTCTTCGACAAGAGAACCGACAAGTACTGCCCTTCGAGTCGATCTAAGGAGATGTCGACTCGGCGAGTCGGCTAAGTCAAAATTCTTGGTGGTCCTGACTATCACTTCGATTTGAGCGGTGCATGTAAGGGGACACCTGTCCGTTGCTAGCAAAGGGTCGTACTTTGACGATTGAAAACACCATAACAATTACTATTTTTCAAGAAAAGTCTTTTCCCACTTGATGTGAGTCACGAATTCAAATAATTCTACGAGATGTCTTTACAATTTACTTATGGCTTAAGCATCCTAAAAATGGTAAATTTGAAAAACTCAGAAGACTATCATTACCAACCGTCTCTAGCATCTCACCTACTTATCCATCCGTAGTTGAATTGAAGGATCTTTTTCCATATTAGCCCCTTACATGTTCTCAAGAGTTTGAAATTAGTCCCCAACGTCAAAGTCGTTGAAGTTGGTATCGTGTTCCACTAAATTTAATGCAGCCTTATAAAAATTCAGTAGAGGGAAGATATTTTTGTGAGCGCGTATCGGCACGTAAGGGGGCCTAAGCAAGTGGCGGCCACCACGCCCCACCACGCCTCCAGAGGGATCGACAGCCCGTCGTTTAAAATTTTCACTGGGGGGTTAATGAAAGTCTACACACACCCTTCTTAAATTTCTCCGCTAACCCGTTGCCAAAGGGGACCGTAAATGCTCAAGGCCTTGAATTAGCCCTGGTCAAGTCGCGGGTTTTAAATTTAAAAGGATGGTGGAGCCCCGAAGAGGGGTCCAGAAGAGGGAAGATACTTCTGGAGCCTGAGCAGGTGGCGACCACCAGGGGCCTCTGTGGTCGGTCGAGGGAAGATATACCGAATGCTGCGGGTTTTTACGCGTCGAGATGCCGTGTTTAGGGACGGGTGGGACCCACGTTGACGAGGCGCCTCAAACCTGGTTGTCGAGTGGGCCCCACGCCGGACCACGGGATCCGGGTGATCTTTTTCCGCTGCTTTGCTGTGTGGTGTTCAATTCTGGGTCACACGCGCGGTGTCCTGAAGAGAAGATAGGGACCAACGACAGCTCACTATGTAATCCTGCGGTGGCCAGTGTCCTCGTCTTCTAATTTTTTTTATTCCGGATAAAATGACCATTTTCTATTTAAAATATCAATAATTGGATTTTTAAATCGCACCTTAAAATAGCAATTTAAAATATTAATTTATTAAATATTTGACCGTAAACTCATAAAATTAACACATTTGATTAAGGGATAAAATGAGGGAATTGATACTTTATGGGGCAATTTAAGAGTTCGCAAATAGAGAAATGGCCAGTTTATCCTTTTTTTTAAATTTACTATGATGCATGTGTCTATTTGGGTCTGTTTGGTTCGTTGCCTTCATTTTACAAAACTCATTTTTCTTCACTTTTTTTTTGTTTCCTTCACTTTCATGGAAAGTGTTTCTTGTGTTTGTTTCGTCAAAAAATATGGGCTGAAAGTACTTTCCACCATTTTTCTTGGTTTGGTTCAACTTGAAAAAAATGAAGAAAACAATTGATGTGTGAATAGATTCCCTGATTTTTTAATGCTTGGTTCAAATAAAAATAAAAATAAAAATAATAACAATAATAGTAATAATAATAACAACAATAATAATAACAAGGGAAAATTGCTTGGAGGAACTAAAAAATTTTGGGCTATGCATCCTCCTCCCCAGCCCCAAAACCATAACCCCCAAGCCCTAATACTTAAAAATAAGTGCAAGTAACCCCCAAACCCACTACCCAATAAAGTCATTCCCAAATTACCCTTCCCAATTTAAAACCCCCTTCTGAGCACAATTTTCGAAACCCTAGCTATTTTCTCATTCCCTCTTCCTCCACCGCCGATCGACGACTGCCGACGAGGTCTCGCTTCCCTACCAGCCCATCTCGCTTGGATCCCTCCTCTACCGCTTCGTCAACGGCGACGACACGTTTCGCAATTCTAGGTTTAAGATCGTGAACAGGATCGTCAAGGGGTCGTGGATTGTGAAGGCGGCGGTGGGGAACTATGCTGCTTGTTTGCTGGGGAAGGCGCTGACGTGTCGCTGCCATAGGGGAGAACTATCTGGAGATTGATGTCGACATTAGGAGCTCGGCGATAGCGAATGCGGTGTTGCATCTGGCTCTTGGGTACGTGAAGGCGGTCATGATCGATATGAGATTTGTTGTGGAGGCGCAGGAGGAGGGCTGCCCGAGAGATTGATTGGGGCGGTGAGGATCGCGCAGATGGAGTTGAGCTCTGCGACTTTTTTAGAGACCCCAGCGGCGGCGCCGAAGGCGGCGGTGGCTGGAAAGGGGACTGCGAAGGTGAATGACGGGAGAGATTGAGGTCAGGGCTTTTTTTCAATGTGTTACTTTTAAAAAAAATTATTTTGTTAAGTGTTGATGGGGGAGCAGAGAGGAGGTTTTAAGCGTTTGTAAAGTGATCACTGGGTACATGGGACGTTCGATATTAATGATAACTTTTTATGATGATAGATGAATTGGATCTAATTGTTGCGCAAATTTGATGATGGAGATTGAGATTATTGAAAGTTCTCGTGCTCTTTTTTTATTATTGGTGTTGAATTCTTATTTTATCCTGTAATTTTTGAGGAAAATGCTAACTAGCCGTCAACTGAGTATTTTAGAGTTTGTACCAGTTTATTAATACATGTGATACTTGCTTATGTCACATATGCTAGATTCATGTGATATAGTGACATTCTGGGTGATATATTCTGTTGTTATGTGATATTTTAGTATTCTGTGTGATTTATGCTACTGTTATGTGACATTTCGATATTCTGTTTGACATATGCTGTTGTTATGTGATATTTTAGTATTCTGTGTGATATATGTTACTGTTATGTGATATTTTTGGTTTTTTGTATGACATATGCTGCTATTATGTTAATGTTATGGTCGACGGCCTATGTTAATAATCTCATCAGTTCTCTACTTTATAGGCATCATGTTAATGTTATGGGCTCCCAATGTCTACATGTTACTCCTGGCAAGACTCATCAATGGCCACGGCATCGGTTTATCAGTAACTCTTATTCCTGTTTACATATGCTGCAGTTTAAGTGTTATATGATATTTTTACAGATATGATTGGGGCATACATGTATATATTTTCATCAAGGTGGTCCTAGAGGAAAGGGAAGCAATGAATATTAAAGCCTTGCAAAGGAAGTCTGAGATGTTACAGGCAAGACTTGTTGGCTCAT